GTTGGGCCTACATTTTCTTCTAGTAGTTGCAATGTTTCTGGTCTGATTCCTGGGTCTTTGATTCACTTTGAGTGGACTTTTGTGCAGTGTAAGATATAGGGGTTACATTTCATTCTTCTATGTGTGGATTTCCAGTTTTCTCAGTACCATTTGTTGAAGAGGATATCTTTTCTCCAAAGTATCTTTATGGCACCTTTGTCTAGTATCATAAAACTGTATTTATATGGGTTTGTCTCTGTGTGTTCTGTTCCATTGATCTTCATGCCTGTTTTGGTGCTAGTACCATGCTGTTTTTGTTATTATAGCTCTGTAGTATAATTTGAGGTCTGGTATTGTGATGCCTCCTGCTTCATTTTTCTCACTAAGGATTGCCTGGCTTTTCTGAGTCTCTTATTTTTCCAAATGATTTTTGTGACTGATTTTTCCTAGTTCTGGGAAGAGTGTCATTGGGATTTTGATGGGAATTGCATTGAATCTGTGTAGTGCTTTTGGTAGTATGGCCATTTTGACAATATTCATTATGTCTATCCAAGAACATGGGAGGACTTTCCATATTCTGAGATCTTCAATTTCTTTCTTCAGTGTTCTATAATTTTCATTGTAGAGGCCCTTTAACTCTTTTGTTAGATTGAGTCCCGAGTATTTCATTTTTCTGAGGCTATGGTGAAGGGGGCAGTTTTCCTCCTGTTCAGCAGACTCACCACTGGAGCACAGGAATGCAGCTGATTCATGACTGTAGGTCTGGTGTCCTGCTGCTTTCCTGAATTCGTTTATGAGTGCTGGCAGTATTGTGGTGTCATGTTTGGAGTCTTCTGAGTATAGGATATGTCAGCAAAAAGATAATTTAAGCTCTTTTCTTATTTCGTATAGGGATTTTATTTCCTTCTCTTGTCTGAATTGCTCTGGCTAGGGTGTCAAGGACTATGTTGAACAGGAGTGGTGAAAGTTAGTAAGTATCCTTGTCGTCTTCTTGTTTTTAGAGGAAATGTTTTGTTTTGCTCTGTTCAGAATAATGTTGACCTTGGGTTTGTCATATATAGCCTTTACAATGTCGAGGTGTGTTCTTTTATCCTTAGTTTTTCTAGTGCTTTAAACATGAATGGGTGCTATACTTTGTCAAATGTTTTTTCTGCATCTATTGAGATAATCATGTGATTCTTGTCTTTAAGTCTGTTGATGGTAGTGAATTATGCTCACTGATTTCTCTGTTGAAACAACCCTGCATCCCTAGAATGAAACCCCCTTGATCATTGTGCACTATCTTTTTAATGTTTTTTTTTCTTTTGTTATGCAATTTGCCAAAATTTTATTCAGAAATTTTGCTTCTTGCATTTAAATTTTAATCTCATTCTTAAGGTTTGGAAAATTTCCTGATATTATTTTATTGAAATGATTGTGCCATCCCTTTAGTGTGTATTTCAGAGACTTCATCTATCTCAGTGATTCTTAAGTTTGGTCTCTTAATGTTACCCCCGATTTCTTGAATATTCTGTTCATTCTTTACATATATATATATTTTAGTTGTAGTTGGACATGATACCTTTATTTTATTTATTTATTTTTATGTGGTGTTGAGGATTGAACTCAGTGCCTCACATGTGCTAGGTTGAACACTTTACCGCTGAGCCACAACCCTGGAACCTGTTCATTTTTTTATATTCATTTTTTAGTTTTGGGTGGACACAGTATCTTTATTTTTTATTTTTATGTGGTGCTGAGGATCAAATCCAGTGCCTCATGCATGCTAGGCGAGCGCTCTACCACTGAGCCATGACCCCAGCCCCTGTTCATTGGTTTTTAACGTCTTTTCTTTATGGTTGACTTTATTTTCAAGAGTATATGCTTTGTCTTTGAGGTCTGAAAGTCTGTCTTCAGAGTGTTCTAATCTACTGGTGGTGCTTTCCACTGAATTTCTAATTTGGTTTATTGATTCCTTCATTTTGAGGATTTCCATTTGGTTCTTTTTCAGAGCCTCCACCCCTTTATTGAAGTAATCTTTCACTGCCTGAATCTTCTCTGTAATTTCAGTTCTCATGTTCTCTTTTAGCTCAGAACATTCTAACTATGGACTTTCTAGATTCCTTCTCTGGCATGTTGTCATGTTTGGATGTGCGTTGTCCTCCCAAGGCCCATGTCTGAGACAATGCAAGAAGCTTTGGAGGAGACGTGATGGGTTTAAGAGCCTTCACCCCATATTAGTGAATTGATCACGGATGGGATTGAGTGGGAACCGAGGGCAGGTGGGGTGTGGCTGGGGGAGGTGGGGCGTTGGGGGCCTGGCTCTGGGTATGTGTGTGATTCTGGCAAGTAGAATCTCTCTGCTTCCTGACCCACGTGAGCTGCTTCCCTCTGCTGCCTTTCACCATGATGTCCTGCTGGCCGAGTCCCGAGGAGTGGAGCCTGCTGTCTGTGGACTGGGACCTCTGGAACTGTCAGCCCCTAAACCAGCTTTCCCTCCTCTATAATTGTTCTGGTCAGGTCTTTTAGTCATAGCAGCAAAAAATCTGACTAAACACATTTCCTTCACTTTTGCATTGACGGAGTCGGTTTTTGAAGCATTTTGGGCGGTTTGGGCAGCTTGTTTCCCTGCTTTGTCACATTGTTTGAATCTCGACTCATCTATCGGGTACTTCTCATTCCTTTTAGCAAGGGACTACTTTGTGAGCTTCTTTCTTCTAAGAGCTCTGGGTTGGGTAAATATGCAGGTACTGATATTTTCAGTCAGTATGTGACCTCTGCCGATTCCAATGTCAGCACCACTTTGAGGGACGCCACTGAGTCCTCCTCGCTGTAGTCACTTCAGACTCACGCTCTTCAACCTCACGGGAAACAAAACAGGTTGCTGTGGTTCTCCACAGTTCCTTAAACCCATGTTTGAACTTGTATATGGTTCTGGAATAGGTAAAAAAATAGTTTTTTGCACTTGGTAAACTTACATATAACTGTAAATGAGGGATACAGTCGGGGGGGGGAGAAAGATTGGGCAAAAAAGGAGAGAAAAAGTGGGCTGGGGATGTGGCTCAAGCGGTAGCGCACTCGCCTGGCATGCGTACGGCCCGGGTTCGATCCTCAGCACCACATACAAAGATGTTGTGTCTGCCGAAAACTAACTAACTAACTGACTAAATATTAAAACTAAAAAAAAAAAGGAGAGAAAAAGTGAGACAGAAAGAAAAAATGAGAGAAAATATATAAAAGAATGATTCACAGCAAGGTAGAAAGGAGAAGTGGATGGTGGTATTTGAAGTAGCAATAGATAGAGCAAGAAGATGAAAGGAGGGTAGAGTGAGCAATATAAACTAGAAGAAAGATAGGAAGGTGGGTTCTAACTAATGCTCTAAACCACTAGGTGGAAGACAGACCAGGGGGTGGAAGGTACAATGCTGGCTATGGGGGTACAACTATCATCCAAGTCAAAGAGTTATTTGTGGTAACCCAGGTCAGGGTGGAGCACAGTCTTGTTGCTTCTTGGATAGGATTTTATTGGGGTTTAGATAGTTAGCAGATGTCCGTGTCTTTGCTCTAGATCTCTTTAGAATTGCAGGTGCACAGGAGCTAATTCCTTAGTTGCTATGAACCTGCCATCAGCTGGTTCTGGCTTGTCAGCTCTGGGGCCTGCCACTGACTGTTCAGAGGGTGCAGTGTTGAGGCTTGGTTCTTTCTGTTGTGTGAAGATTTCAGGATGCAGGCTCTGGAGCTACCCAATGACTGCTGTACCTCTTCTCCTCTGTTTGATTGTGTCCATGGTGGTGGAGATCCTAGTGGCTGTCCTCGAGCACAGGAACTCTGGTTGTAGATTTTCTGCAAATGTTCTGTGGTGCAGAAATGCTCCCCTGGCTGGTGCTACTCTCTGGGTACTGTGGTGAAGGGTCTCTGGTGGTTCACCTGCCCCAGGTTGTGATGGTGGGCCCTGATTCCCCTGTTGATGGAAGAACCCACCGGTATCCAAACAATGCCCTGTCACTTGCCAGTGGAGATGGCAGATCAGGTTGGGTGCCAGGAAGCCTGGAGCAGCCACTTCCTGTTGCTTTGGCTTTGGTAGCCTCCCCTCCCATCACCCTCTGGCTGTGTTTGCGGCACCTTCCGACTCAGATGTGTGGGGTATCCAGGGACCTTACCCTGGCAGGCTTCTGTTTATGGCTTTCACCATCTGGGAAGTGGATCTCGATGCCCCTGAGTAGTCAGACAGCTCCCCTCTGGTAGGGTGCCACAGTCCTGGGGACAGTCCTGGGTTTCCCATGGCATTGCCCACCAAGGTCAGTGGTGGGGCTGTGGGGCCTCGCGGATCCGCTTTCCTTTGCTCAGGGCCAGAGCAGCTTCCTTGCTTTGTTCTTGAGTGAGTCTCGTGGTGTCGGGGCCGAGCTTCCTGCCTTTGCCTGGGTTTGGGGTTCCTGACTCTGCTCCTCATCCTCTGCCTCCTTTCCGTGATGTGAGGAGACTGGGAACAGCTGCTGAGCTTGCTTCTTCCACCTTCCATGCTCCCGAAAAGGCATGTTTGACTTACTACATTTTCAGACGATGAGAGGGGTATTGTGCCTCAGCCTGACTTTAAGT